GGCTGGGGGCCATGGAGAGTGACAGGGGGTGGGGGGGCTGGGGGCTATGGAGGTAGACGAAGATGGAGATTCAGGCTCCATGGAGAGATGATGTGGGTGGGGTGGATGGGTACAGTGGAGGAGGAGAATAAAGGTGGAGGGGGTTTAGATGTTATGCAGAGAGACAGAGACAGAAATACTGTCAGAAAAGCCCCCCATGAAAAGCAGTTATTTATGCCGCGCGTTTGAATGCAGCGAGTGTTTGTGAGCCATCTGCTGAGAGCCACTGATGTATGTCACCGTGACAGTGACGGCGTCTCTGAAGAGCACAGCCTGCTGCAGAGGCCGCCGCATACAATACACCAGCCACCGAGTGGCGCTACACAGAGCCCAGCGGCCCATCGCGCCTCCAGCAGGCGAACGCTAACTTCTACGATAGAATCCCGAAGGGTGCGGCTTCGAGTCAAGTGACCGGTTCAGATCACGAGCTCTTCCTAAGTGGTGAGTGAACAGCAGCCGCAGACGAAGCCGCTGTGTTTGCATTCGTTCATGTGTCTGGAAGTCCCCCAGCGCCAGGCTCTCAATCGATTCAACTCTGGCTTGTGTCCAGCGCTGACCTCTACAATCACACCGTTACAATTCTCCTAGATGTGTCTGTATCTAGTGTGACTGCTACCTGGGACCACTAGGGGGCACTTAACCGCACGGCTACATTTAATCCAGGACTCATTACGGCACAGGTTCTGCACTATATGATATCTCATCAGTCCTCCAAAGGAGAAGCTCTCCCTCCAGCTGTGTGTATCAGGGTGAAGTATATGTTTGTTTTACTTGGCCTGGAGTTCCTGAAAGCATGATAACAGTCACTAGGCAACAAAATAAGTAAAAATGGATGGGATGGGGCAATGGGCGTGTCACGTGAATAACCTAGTTTATTATCCAGTTATGTTTATTAGTCAACAAGCCATCCATGGGTGATCTAGATGGGTGGGCGTAACTGGGGCCATAATTTATATGGAAGGACCAACCTTATCAGCCAATGATATGTTCTGAATAGGTGAGTGACTGGGCAAGGGGAACTCTGGGGCCAATCAGCATTCAGATGGGGCTAGTGCCGCTGCAGCCCCACCCCTGTATACCTCCCTAAAGCCATCTAAACTAATGTAAATGTGCTTAGCATACTTTTGTAGGAAATGCCTAACATCAAGATATAACGTAGTGGATCCGTGTAACAGCCGAAAACTTTATGACTTCATGACTCAATACCAACATCTTGCCACTCCAACGGAAGGAGAGCTTTGACTGTATAAATCATACGGCCGCAATAGTTTGGTGGACACATTATGAGAAATGAACCCTGAGCCCTCAGAGGCTCGAGAAACGGATGGTAAAAATAAAGAGGTCACGCAAGAATCGGTCTGCACGGTGGTTAAGGAACTGGGTGCTTGCCGCATTAATCCCCCGGGGGGGGGGGGGGAGGGGAGCACCTGATGTTGGAAAATAGGCTTAACCTGAATTCCTGTGGTGAGAAAATAAAAAAGAAGCGAGAGTCCAGCTGTGTTGCTGGGGGGTGCGCTAGATTTTGCGGACAAAGCTATCCACTGGGCAACCAACACGATATGCAAAAAAACCTTGGGTGCCATTTTAGATTCCTGCTCCCAAACAGGATCTGCTGTCTCTGCATCAAACCTAAGAATAACCCCAAGAGGGCAGCACCCAGCGTTCTGATAAATGCCAATGACGTCCCGGGTATTCCAGGGCTCTGGGCAACAGAGGAAATAAGGGCGGAGCGAAAGGGGGTCAGCTCTTCTGAAGCACCCCCGGCTTCCTAGTGCCGCGGTGCAGATGTCTGGCCAGACGTTGGAGAGATCTCCCACTCGCACCGAGCCTCCATCTGTCAGCCTCTCCCTAGTTCTTCAGCTTCTCATTATTCCCAGCTATCCCGGGGTGCCGGCGTTCGGAAAAAAATTAGCGCGTGCGGAAAACCGGCGGAGCTTCCACTTTCCCGGCCGGGTCGCCCGTCTCCCTCTGTCCATTCCAGCGGCGAGGTGACTGATTCTCCTTGCGGGGGCTTTGTCGTCACACGTTCCCTTGTTGCCAGACACTGCCCCGGAGTTTCGGTAATTTAACAAACCGGTGCATCTACCGGCGGGAATCGTCGAGTCTAAAAATAGAGCGGGAAAGCGCTCTCGCCGGCGCTGGGACACCGCGCACCAGCGAAGGTGCTGCAACCCGCCTGTCAGCCTTGTCGCTGACAGCTCCTGCTCAGGACTCACAGCTCACTGTACGTGCTTGCCTACCCAGATGTTCACCGAGAAAACAGCTGATCCTCCGGATATTTTTAGACAGCGTTCCTGCGGCGGTGGACAGAGAGAGCGCTCCGAGGAACAGGAGCAGGTACTAAATCGATTATTTATGTAACCGCGCTGCGGCTTCGCCGTGCCGACACGGCCCGGGCCGATTGAGAATGCGCCGAAAACTCCACGGAGTCTCGCCGGGGCAAGACGTCCTCATTTTCACTTCTCACAGACGCTGGCTCCCTCCTTAAGTCAACAGCAACTGCGATTTTTTTGAGCAATCTAGGCCATTTGCCTCTCATTTAAATAAAATTTGAATTTAAGGCACGGCTCAGAGACAGCGGCACCAGAAATAGCTTAACGGGCCGCTCGCTGCTTCCCACAGCTGGGAATTTGAGCAGGCAGATTCACAAGGCAGCACACGCCTTGCCGGGCAAACGACAACATGACAGCCATGTTAACCCTTTTTCTCTGCGTTTCGTTTTTTTTTTTTTATCCCTTAATCGTATTCTCTCACTTTTAAGGTCAATTCGGGGTCATAGATGTGCTCCCACTGTAGTTGAAATCCACCATAACGAGAACATAATGAACAGGGGGGTGGTCTTACCTTGTGGTCTGTTGGTCACATCTGCAGAAGGACAAAAAAAAAGAAGAGAAAAGAAACAAACAAGACAGATGTCAGCAAATTGTAGCGTAAAACAGAAAGTAAACTTCAAAGCCGGGTAGGGCCTGTCAAGCAGAAGTGAAAAACGGCGCGGGTTCAGACATCGTGCACTCTGCTGGTTAAGAATAGTTCCTGTCAAGAGGAAGGTGGAGCGGGTAATTTATCGAACAGGGGGACAGAGACGGCTGGGAGTCCTACCCTGGGAATTCAATGTTTGCTCATGTCCCGACAGTGTTTGTCAGTATTCAGCCAATTCTGATAACATTCAGAAGAAAATAACACTCAGTTTGCCTTATCTGACCGTTACTTTAACCTTGCCTGTATATAACAACAAACAACTTCCTGCACAACAATTTATACCAGTGTTTTCCAATCCGGTCCTTGGGGACTCACAGTTGGTCCATGTTTTTGCTCCCTCCCAGCTCCCGGCAGGAGGAAAGACGTGGACTGTCTGTGGGTCCCCAAGGACTGGATCGAGAAACACTGATTTAGACAGTTTTGGAGATACTGGGTACTTTCCAACATGACACCTCCTAGTCCGACTGCGTGTCTTTGGCCTGTAAGGGCGAACGTGTGCATGAAGAGAACGTGCTACCTCCATCCATGCAGAGCAGTAGGTGGGATTCAGACCCTAAACTGGTGGCTTTTTAACACTGCAGGTCATTGTCATTCAGGGCTGGCTCTACCTTCTAAGGGGTCCCGGCAAAGCTTTACTTGTGAGGCCCCCTTACAAAGAAAACTGATAAGCCATTTCATTGTAGGGGCCCTAGCTAGAGCAAGCCCCATCACCAGGACTGGGACTGAGGATTCCATATTCACTAACTAAAGGACCCTTCATTTTGACATTTCGGCAGTCCAGCTGTACACCGCGGAGGGGCCGGAAGACGAAGGGTGCCCGACCAGCAAACTCCAGTGGATCCCATGCTGGGACTGGCCCCCCAAAACCATCAGCCGGCTGTCACCCAGGACTTCCGGCCCTAAAAATACGTTTCCATTACTCCACATTTTCCCCCAGCAAAGTGTTTCTTCAGCAACTCTCTCTTTCTTATTTTCCAGTTTTTGTTTAGATCAGTAAATGTTAAAAAAAAAAAAGACAGAATGCCACCAGTACTGGTTAAAGTGATTCTGGGATATCACTGTTCACTGGGAGATGCACTGCTAAGCTAGTGTAATGTGCCAGTAATATGATTTATTACACATGATGTCTTTCTTCTGCATCCATCTGCATTTCCTGTATGCCGTCTCCGGGGAACGCCACAGGAGTGCGTGCAGTGCACAGGAGTGCACGCCACAGGAGTGCGTGCAGTGCACAGGAGTGCACGCCACAGGAGTGCGTGACTGCAATGCTGAGGGGGGGGCGCGCGCGCATCCGGGGCCTGGCGCTTTATGGGCTAACGAAAAGCAGCCGATCGTTACCTGGGGCAAGTGGGGGCGACAAAATGCAGCCATCTCTCTAAAGGGTCAACCTATACCAGGGCTGGCCTGAAGGGGGCAGCAGGGAAAGAATGAATCGGGAAGTCAGTTTAGGGCTAATATTTAAGGAATGACAGACCAAATGAAAAAAATGGCAAAGACTTTCCTACAGATATAATTAGTCAAGGGAGACTAGGAGTTTTAAGGTAGGGCCAACCAATGATATCTTTTTAATCGGTGATTGACAGGGATGAAGGCACTCAATGGACCAATCAGCATTAAGCTGGGGGCAGTGCTCCTGTGGCTCCATTCCTGTACATGCTGATGTAACTACTTGTGCTTTAGCTTTATAAAATATCAATTGTCGACGTTTCTGTCCTGTGGGAAATATTTATGACGGTCTGTGGCAAGATAATGTATCTGCTGATATCCAGCCAGATATTACAAATTTCTTTCGGATATCGTGCTAATTTACGACCGGACAAACGTTTTGCAGCCAGCAGAACAAGGGTGGTCAGAGCGAGGGTGTGCAGAGTCCTGGCAGACCTCCCCTCACAAAGCTTACCGTCTCTCCACCATTACAGGGCATTATGGGTAGGCAGCAGTGTTGGTTCAATTTCAGCAACCTCTCTCCGTAATTATACCCGCCCCACCACACATAAACATTAATTCAGCCTGAGCTCGAGATTTATTATAGTGATCAGATGAGTGGACAGAATAGTCTGCCCAAGATGTTTTATCAGCCATCTTCTAATTTATTAGATTTTGATTTACATGACGCTATCTGTCAGTTTTAGATTCAATTAAGTCGTCTCTCCATCTCAGTTTACTGTCTTTCTGCATGATAAAAAAAAAAAGTGGTGGGAATGACTAAACTTTCCCCTTGATAAGATGCACAAGGGGCTTTAAATAACCAGCAGTGAGGGACGACGCAACGGCAGATGTGCAGAGGGATGCCGGTTTCCTGGGGGGGGGGGGCTCACAGAGCGTTCAGGCATGTGAAGGGCACTCGTCTGACGCCCCGTCAGAAACGAGCAAAAATCCCGATGAACTGTACGGGGGGGGGCACTGGTGGATTTTTGGATTTGAAATGTATTTATGTCGTCACGTGGTCACCCTTGCAATTCTGACACGTTAACTGTGGCCCCTCAGGGACTCAGTTGTCTCTCCCACCAGCGCAAGAGGGCTAATCCATTTACTGGACCACGCCCCCCCCCGAGCTGATCCGATGTACTGGGCTGCTCCACATATTACAGTGTGACCCATCGGGCCTGTTCAGTCTGCCTACGCTGGTATGATGCTGCTGTCAGCCAACGGGGGTGAGAGAGTGGCACCCCTCCCCCCCACGATGAGCCAGATGCACTCTGTCTTCACCTTTTACAAGTCACCCTAAAGTGGGTTGATCCATTCGGTTTTAAATAGAATAGTGAACAACTAAATACAGAAAGTATAAAGTTGGGAATCTACTCAGGGCACGGAGTGGAATAAAGAAGAGGATTTAACTAGGCAGCTAATAATCAGAATCGATTATCATAACCCATCCAGGATGATCACCTTTCCATTACAGGGCTGTGGGGGACCTCCAGACCATCCCAAGCAGTATGGGGCACAAGCAAGGGGGGCACCTTAGATGGGGTGCCGGTACAGTGCTCTCTACACAGGGCGGGCCCGACCGTTTTCGGGGCTCTGAGCAAAACGTCATTAACCTAGTCATTTGTCATCTTCCTTCCCATTCTGACAGGCTGAGCAGATGGGGCGCCCCCTGGTGGCTGCTAGGCCCTAAGGAGCCACTTAGTTCGCTTGTATGCATTGGGCGGCCCCATCTCCACAGAGCAGATGTGGGCGATCTTACCTGCAAAGGGCCGGTGTGTATGCAGGTGTTTGGGGTAACCTTTAAGTCAGCTCTTCAAACCCAGGTGTGAGGACTCGTCAGCCAATCAGTCCTCTAATTAGTAACACGTATGAAAACACACACGTACAACAGCCCATTCTGGATAAGATTACCCACCCCTGCCACAGAGGCACTACGGCATACACAACAGTAACAATTATAATAGTAAAAAACAATACAATTCATAAATAACAATGATCTATATTAGACCATTTTTATTATTACTACTATTACAGAAGTTGCTTGTTAGTGTCTGATTTTTCAGTGCCTTCCCATCACTCATGCGGGCAGTCTGTGGCAGTCTGTGGACCAGAAAGGCAGCTGGTCTGCAAACAGTACTGACTCACAAAGCAGACTGTCCTTAGTCACAAGCAGACGGAGCAGCAGTTACCTAACATGAAAAAGTATCGCCCCCGAACATCCGAATAGTAAAAGGATTCATTGAGAGACCTGGGGAAGGTGGGACAGGGTGGGGGTCCGGGTGGGGGGGGACGGGGACGTGGAGAAGGAGAGCCCGTTTTAGAGCGGGCAGGTGCCTAAAGACAGACACGTTGGGGAGGGGCTACGGAGCGAGGAGGACGGCATGGATTTCGGCTACACGGGCCGCAGGCGTGGACGGCTGCAGAGAGCACGCTCACACCACGAGGCCCCTCCTCTCAGCCAACAACAGCCAGCCGCTTTCTCCACACTCCTCCTCAACGTCATCGCCAAAGGGGTTTCAGCATCATACACGCTGTACGTGAAGTATTACTGCAGCATGACAGACCAGCTAGGGGCACATTACATCATCAGTGCCTTTCAGGCTATATCAGCTGCTCCCGAAGCGGGGGGGTCACAGGATGATTTCCAGATCATGCTAATCGATTGTGATAACCCCCCCACCACCGCCGTCAGTGAAATCTACCGCGGCGCTCTGGTGTCTGGTGGTGTTATTTTGAGGGTCATGGGCTGAAAATATGCCAACCCATGGGTCATATGACTATACCCTCTCTGACCCGGCCTGGATTAACCATATAACCATATGGGCATTCGGGCACCGAGGAGAGCAAAGTTGATGTGATTTAATATCTGATATATTTACTGATAGTACATTGTTCTTCTAATACGGCACTAACTGAAAAAGCCTATGTAGGGTTTTCCCTGTGTCACACGCATTCCTGCATTACCAATAAGCTCCGTTTTCTTCCTGATGTGGCGTCATGTGTGCTGTCGCCCAGGGGCACTTAATCCTCTTAATCCGGCCCTGCCTCCGACTGATGTTATTATCTAAGGGGTGGACACCAGGCTATCCCAAACTTTCCATCAGGCTTTACAGAGTTAGACGTGACTCTACCCACAGCATAGATGTCACTTGTCGTGGGCGGAGAGCAGCGACGGCTTCTGACGGCTGCCTTCGCCTCATCGATGCTTTGATTGAAATCAAAGTGTTCTTGACGACTGTGTGTTTACAGGCGCCTCTCCCGCGAGGGAACGACAGCGGCACCCCGTCTGGGATCTGAGGACCTTCGGAAGACGTGCTCAGCTTCACGGCTAGGCGCCTTTAGCCGCTCGGAGGCGGCAAAGTGGCATCTTCTGAACCCCACCCAGGTCGTTTGCGTCTGGAGACACCGGAGTTCTCTCAGGCGCGGGTGCGTGGCGGAGGGGCGACCGGCCTGCTCTG